TTTTTTTACAGATTTCACAGTCAGAGATAATTTTCGCCACTCTACTAGCATCCCTTTAATTTGTCCTAACACAGTTTTTGGTAAATGTTGCTGAATAGTTTCAGTAATATTCAATTTTTATGCATACTTGGGACTTTTTACAAGGTATTTTGTAACAATAATTTGCATTATTTTCACAGTCACCAACGATGACGTTCCTTCTTCAGTTTTGACTTCGATCCATCCTTCTGCATGACGCTTCTGCAAAAATTACTTACCACAGCATTTCGTATGTACCATGTAAAGATTTTTATTATTAATTCTTTATTTTTAGGTGTACCATTCCTAGCAAAACCTATTATACGGGAGAGGGATTTTAGTTGGTAGGTCCTCCTGTGAGGGAATCCAACACTACCCAGTCGTACGGACGGCTGGGTGTCTTTCGAAGATTTCCCCTCTTCCACAAAAAAAAAAAAAAAAAAAAAACTAAACGATCTAATGACTTTTATTGCTGGTGTTCTCAGATGGGCGGAATAGCCATTTATTTCCACTACCCACTCGCTGGTATTAAGTAATTTGGAATTGTTTACAACCCCTTTTCTTCAATATTGTTTCAGTGTTCGGCATCAATTTCTATCTGAACACGTAAGTTGCTACAACTATTTTTTACCTTCATTATTAATTATCTTGTGTTCAAAATGTTAATTGTACATTATTGAAAGGTTTTAGTTAAAAATTGTTAAACTGTATTACTGTTTCTTCTGTTTTGTGGCCTTTTCTATTTCCTCAATTGTCTCTTCAAATTACATAAAATATTTTATTTTGTACAAGTGTATTTGTTAACATTCAATAAATTTTTTTTACTATTTCACTTATTATTACTTTTACACTTTAAAATTCCCAAATTCTTATGTTAAGGTGAAAAATGGACAAGTAACAATGTATTTCCTTTTTTACAAAAGAGACAATGTCTTTTCTTTTATAAAAAAGGAAAATACATTGTTTCTTATCCATTTTTCACTTTAACTTATACATTACGAAAAACAATAAGTAACTAACAAATTTAAAGTGCGCGCCTTTTTTATTTAGTATTGACTACACCTGCCGGAGGGCGCGCAAATCGGCGCATTTCGAGTTGACCATCTATTACCTTTTGTAGATCTATTATCTATGTTCAGTCGTTTGTGTTTACCGTTGAGGGTAGCTGTTGCTTTCCTAAGAGAAGTTACTAGCAAACTTTTGGAAAACTGATTGTGCCATATTTAATATTTCTTGTACTTATGCAAGTTAAAAAAGTACTTTTTGTATGTAACAACAGTGGAAAGGTAAGTTGTAACTTTATGATTTTCATTATTTTTGTTTTTTTGTTTTAATTTTAACTTGTTAAAGATTCTCAAGTCTTTATTTTTTAAAAATTAAATTTTGTTTTAAAAACTAATGATATTTAATCAAAATGTAACTTTTAATGCAGTTGTTCTTGCACGTGACCTAGGTTAGTGTTAGATTAGATGTAAATTGCAATTACTGGTGTACAGGTGATATTAAAACGTGATTTCAAATTTGTGGGCGACTTGCGTATGTTCATGTGTTATAGTACCTACATATTACATATATCTATATACATCTGCATATGATATTATTTTTAATAAGCTATAGTGTGAACAAAGCGTGACAACCCTTAAGAAATTTAAACAGCATATAATATTAATTTATTATTTATATGAAAAAGTAGCTGAAGGTATTTGTACAAGTTATCCTAAATCACGTCGTATTTTTTCAAAAGTAATGACACCTATATTCGGTCTTAACTCGCCACTAGTGTATATTTTATACCAAGACTGTTCAAGGTTTATGGTACAACCCCACATTAAAAAGTTGTCTATTCAGAATAGTTTTTTTAATCTTGCACTTAATTACACAGCAGAATTCAATTTTTGTTTACCTAGACTGTGTGATTAGGACAAGCTCAAAAATTGATCCTTTTTCCACAATAAATTAAATATAATTTGAAGTATAACAGTATAGATAACCCAACATAAGGCAAATTTTACAACCCTAATAATGTAACTATAAAGAAAGTTAGGAAACTTTTTTCTAATGAAAACAACTTTTTTACGTGAAACTCAATAAACTCGAATAAACGATCAAATATTACTTAGAAATAATTAATTACTTAGTAATATCTTGCAATATTTTGTTGAAAACCTTTCCATATTTCAAGTCACAGAATTTCTTGTTAGAATGACCCAAGAGGGTTGAAACAATATTGTAGAGACCAATAAACGTTTTCCTGTTTTCTGTTTTTCAATTTTGATATATTATAACTGTACATAAAGTAGTTTAAATTGAGCATAATTTGAGCGAAAAAATTTAAGCGAAGAATATTTTTAATAAAACAATTGAATCTTAAAATCAGAAATGAAATCGCAGATCATAAATTATTAAACTTATGAGCA